CTCTGAGTCATTTGCGCATAGAAATGGGCAAGGGCGCTGCTCAGTTATCTATTGCCTGCAGTTTTATCACTAACATCAGCGGAAAAATCCAACCTTGCCGAACTAGCAGAAGACATCACAAGACTTCTTTCTGGCACATCTTTGCCAAGAGGTTCGCAAGGTTGGAGGGGGAGTTCAGCTTAGAGCTCCGATCTGCAAGTAATCTACCACCGTTTACTGACCATTTACCAGCTTTTGTATCTTTTGTCAACTGTCCAAATGTTCAGAGCCCTTTGCTGATGGTGGTGCGGCGCCATTGCATCTGCTGCCACCCTTCTGTGCAAACACCTCCTGCGAGGGTCCTTGCGGACATTAGCGTGTTCCGCTGCCCGAGTCTTCCAGTGTCTACGGTCCGAGATTGGCACCATTCACAACATTCAACATGAAAGTCATGAAAGCTGAATTCTGGGGCTCCTACCATGCTCTTGTTGGATTTGTCATGATTTGTCGTAGTGGATTTAACATGATTTAACCGTGTTTCTACTGGGGTTTGATGCAGACACTGTCTGCTTGAAGGCGGGAAGACTCGCTCCTTGGCAGCATGATGATTTTGGACTCAGGAACCGAACCTTACTCACCTCAGTGCCGCTGGAGAGGAAAATCACAGGTCCTCAATCCCCTTAACCTTGCACAAAAAAATTCACCCAACCCAGCACAAGCAATAACCCTTCAAGCACGTACAAGAAAGTGGCAGCTGTGACATGCTGCGACATGCTGCGACATGCTGCGACATGCTGCGACATGCTGCGACATGCTGCGACATGCTGCGACTCTGCGGCTGCTTTTTTTTGCTCTGAAGCAAATCGTCGATTCTTTTGGTTTATGCAATGATGCCCTGACGCCCTATGGGCTACTGAAAAACATCCTATGCATACCGAGGCTTATGGGCAACTGTTGGTGCCGAGTCTGTTGAGACAGAATCGTTGTCATCTTCAGACGCCCCGAATTCGTGTGGTGCACGCAGTCAGTCAAAAAGGCTGTTTGATATATGCATATACTTCGATATTTTTCAAAACATGAACACAAATTACAATCTAAGTCCATGTGTATGCCAAAAAAACACTGTCAACGTTTTTGATGCAGAGGTGACACGTGATAGATATATGACATGGACAATGACGTTTCGTCAATGCCATGACATATCACGATCAAGACGGCTAATGACTGTTAGCCTATGAAAACTTTTGTGCTTGAATCTTTGGCAGTCCTACGCTCTCATTCATGGCAATCCTGTCCTGTTCAGGAGCTCAAAGTGGAAAATCAGCCAAAACGTAGGAGTCTTGCTAGACAAGCACAAAGAAGCCGCGCACCACATCTCATGAAGCCCCGCTGCCAAACCTAGACCCCAAAGCTGCCGAAAAGTTGCTGTGAAGGTCCGAGCAAAGCTGCAAAAGCCATGCGAAGGGAGCAGTCTACAAATCAATCAATGCATTGTGGCCCCAGGTTGCGCTCCAAGAGAACGCTGCGCCGCGGGGCAGGGCGCAGAAGTACCCACATGGCGCAACATTCCAAGACTCCACAAGGAGTTGGCGATGGTGCGAAGTGAGTAATTGCTAAGATATAGACACTATAGACACGGAGCCCGATACTGAGCACCTTGCTGGACCACTGGACTGAACCATTTGCCAGTGATCATTCAGGCACTGTCAGGCTTCCCAGCTTCCCAGCTCACTGAGAGTTGTGAAGCAAAGAGTCCCTCTGGCCCTACCGGAGTAGGAGTCTCATTTCAGACTTTCATAGGCTGTCATGGAGACACTGGCTGAGATGGCCCGTAAGGAAATGGGGGCCCAGCCAGCCCAGAGTCCCTTCACTCCGTGGCTCCTTACGACACTCATCAGCTCTGAGACTAGGCCATTGGGAGCCGTCCCGGTCTCGGCCATCGCCCTGGCCTGCAGAGCGGGGCTCCGCAGTGATGCTATGGGCGTACCTTCATCGCATGTACATAATATAGTATGTATATATATATATATGTATATCAATGAATGCATATAATTATGTATAATTAATGTGAGTATTCATGAATATCCTTAAATATCAATATCGTCAAATATCGCCATCCACTGCTACCAAAATCTTCTTCCCTGCCTGCACACGGGTCCGCAGCACATCCAACGGCAAGACCACAGCCCAGGTGAAGAGCGCGGCCGAAGCTCCCGCCGTGGCAGTGTGGAGAGCCGTGCGGCTTTCTGGCATCATATCACGCAACGTGCCTCAGCCAGTGGATGCAAGGTGGGGAAGTCAAGCGCATGATAAAATGAAGTCAAGCTTAGGGGATCATTTCCCGCACCTAAATCACCATCCCCAAGCAGGTCCCAAACTCGGAGATTTGGCTTCCGTTCAGTTCGTTCAGTTCCCTTCTTTCCCTTCGTTCCCTTAGTTCCCTTAGTTCCATTCTTTTTAGGAAAGCTCCTGGACTCCCAATGGAGGCGTGGCCAGCGGTGGAGTTCTTCCATCACCCCGCATCCGAGGACAACACTGCACCACCAGACCCAATTCTTTCTGTGGCTTAGGAACTGACAATTGGAAAACACGCCAGAAGCAAGTTGGGAATCACAAACCATGATGAAATACTGCGCGCGACTTGAATTTGATCAGATTCGCCTATGGTTTATGATTATGAACAACCATGACCATATCTCAAGTCCAAAAGGGAAAATTCAAAGGCATCAAAAAGTAGGCATCAACAGGCAACTGCCATCTCCCTTGGGGCCCAAGTGCCATAGGTCCCAAGAAATGAAGTCGTGTATGGAATTTGGAACGCGATGGAGGCCTTCATTGCTTGCCGCATCGCAGGCAACGTCGCCATTGCCGAACCGCCGGAGCCGCCGGCAACACGAAGAAGAGACTGGAACACAGGCTCCCAGGCAGCCTCACCTGCGCCAAGACCACACAAACGCACAATAAAAATCAATAAAATCACAACTGAATCTTATGTCAAGTATCAATCAGATTCAATCAGATTCAATAAGATTCAACGAGTAACAATAATAATCACCTGCAAATTCAGGACCTTCAGGGCAGTTTCAAGGAGGGGTGAAGCTGGGCCTTCATTTTCCAATGGCATCAACAAAAATGGCTAAAAATTTGGATGTCCAGAGCTCACGTCCCACATGGACATGGCTTCAACATGGGTTCTACCAAACTGCAACAAGTTGAATACAGCTTGATGCAACAAAGCAGCAACCTCCAAAAGGACAGCTTGATTCAACTTGCATACAGTATGGCATACTTATGGCATACAGCTTTTATAAGTCTTTTTTATTCTTTTATATTCTTTCATTGTCTTTTATACTTGTCTGTGACTGCGGAATCAGAATCACTTAAGGCTGTCCGCCTGGGCGAGATGCTGCCGGCTTGCACTGCATCCAGATCTTTGCCATGTTGAAAGGGCAAGAAATCAAGGCACCCATGAAACCCGCCAGCAAACCTCCACAATGGGATCCACTGCCCGGAGCCCATTTGCTGCAGCATTCGAAGGCTGCAAACTCCACAGGTTGTTTCAAGAGAAGACATAACAAGGGCAGCGACGCACCCCGGTATAAGGAGCTTTGGAGTGCAAATGCCCCGCCGCGTCCCAATTCTTGTAGGCAGTGCCTGTGGCGATAGCGGCATCATGGGGAGATGACAGCATGATGGGCAAAGTGGGTTTGTAGCTGGGTGATAATGCCTTGGACATGGGATATTATGTTCGGGGGTAAACCAACTAGTAACCGCTAATTGCCTGAATCATTTTATTCAGGCTCAGTCTGCACAAAGAAATAGAAGTGTTTCTTGCTGACTTTGTTTAGTAAGTCTGCCAACTAGAGAGTATACTCTGTACATCTCTGTACCCTCTGTAATGTCAACCCCGGATTAATAAACCATGGTTTATTAATTAGGGGGGTATTCCCCCAATAGTCATAATCTGATACTTAAATGGTATGCCCCCAATTAAACAACCTAGAGGTTTATTAATCCAGGGTTGACATTACCCTTTATTTGGATGTATTTGGGTTGTCATGCCTGGAACTTGGATGGAGTTGAAGCTGCAATCGGGTTTTCACGGTGTCGAAGGGATAGCCAACAAAAATGTTGCAACAGGCGAAGGCGGCACCCGGTAGCATCTTGGAAGCTGCTACCTTTGCCGCCGGCGCCACGGTTGCTGAAGACCAAATCTCATAAGTGGAGGCGAATTGGAGCACTGAGCCTAGTCCCATATATGCGCGTGAAGGAACAGCTCGAGCCTGATTCGCCTATGGTTCAGAAAGCAGGTGCAGCAGGTGACGATTCGAGCAATGCAAGGTAAAATGGGTGAGCTCTCATGAGATGCACTGTTCGGAAAAACTCCAACCCTCCCAAGCTGAATGTTCGCATTCTACAGATATTTCCAGACTATTCAATCCATACAAGTGCTGTGTTCAACGAAAGCCGAAAAGGAGTGCTCATCCCACTTTCAGTCACTAGTATTTGGTAAGTACATCCACAAAAGTAGGAGTTTTCGCTAGGTATACTGTATACTGTATATCGATATCATTCGACATGTTGTTTTTGTCCATTCACCACAGAAATGGCAGGCTATCATCCCTGGCCAATGACTGTGGTGCCCAAGCTGCTCCATCAGGTGCTGGTAGCAGCCCGTCGTAATTTGGGCTGGTCAGACCTGGCGCTACGGGGACGCCATGGGGGTTGCAGTGGAAATTTCGAACTTCAAGAAACAGATCTGCAGACATTGCATGACATTGCATTAAAATTGACACTAAAATCACTGAAGTTTCTGTTTCACATTTCAATTTCGGGTGTATCTGTAGCATACGCCTTCAACACCTCCGTGTGCACATGATTTGCGGTTCTGCGGACGCACTCAAATTATCTCCTTACCTAGCAAATGGAATGGAATGCCAAAGCTGACAGATCGATTTGTCACCATAGACCCAACACCGGTAAACCCATAAACAAGGCATTCATATTATGCCATATTATGCCTACCTGGGTGTTTGGTTCAAAATTATCCAATTTGGGATGTTTAATGGCATCGAGATACCCATGGCTGCCATGTCCATGGGGCACCTGGAGAGCACATCGCCTGCTGAATTCCTGCTGGGAGGTTGGCTGCCTTGTGACTGGGGGAACGTAGCTGACGTAGCTTGTTCCACTCAGATCTTGGGGGAACATCGTCATGGACAAACCGTGACAAACCTCTTCGGTAGCTACTGCAGCCTCAAAAGATTCGCCACCTTCAAAGATTTCAAACCATGGAAACCATGTCCCACTGCCCCAAGGTCCTCCGGCCAAAACTGCCGGAAGGGCAGGAAGGATAGCGCCTCTGTCGCGCCAAACGCTCATTGTTCTTCACCACCGCAGTCATGGACTTGAGCAAATGCTCAGCCCTGCACAGGGCAGGGATGATAATGGACCAGACCAGGGTCAAAACTCAAGCGATTTGCACCCTTTTTGTCTCTGTAGCCTGAAAATGGGATGGCTCATGCAAAATTCCAACTGAACCACTGTGCAAATCCTTTGGCTTGAGGAAAAGTGACTTGCACCCAATGGGGTTCCATCACCAAGTATAGTATTGTTTTTCTCCCAATGTTAATCAGCGCGGCGCGGCAAATGCACCTGCGGCACACCGAATCTACATCCGCCCTGGTGGCAAAATCTCTGTGGTTCGGCACCTGAACCAGAGCTGGACAGTCGGGCCCTGGCCAACGCTGACCAATGATGAGGGGGAAATGGATGCTATCAATGATTTTTTCTAGCTCTATCCAATCACCCAGACTAAAAAACTACTGTAGAGAGACATGAGTCATAAGACGCATCTCATGAGTAAGCATGTTCAAGTGCTGCATTGGTGTTCCACCCAATGATGCCTTTAAAAAAAAGGGGAACCACCCAACCCCTGGCCTTGGTGGGTTTGACACGTCGACGCCCTGGTGCAACACTGGGTGGCTTTTCCACAATCAGACTACCAGGCGGCGTCAAGAACCCACTTCCCAAACTCTCGGCGGTTTGAGTCCTGGCCCATGGCAGTGACGGGGCCGTATCAATAAGTGGCACAGCTGACGGCAAAGTTTGATGCACCCGAAGCAAGCTACACAGGTTGGCACCATCAAGTTGTGCTTCGCTATTGACTAATGGCTTATCCACCTATGTCATCTATGGCCTTTGACTTCAGGAGGTACAGTCCCCTTCACCAAGATGGGTCCAGCCGCCTACCATAGCCTCCCGGGCAGCCTCTTCAAGGCTAATGGCAGATCGAATTCGGGTTGCCAGGCAAAGGACCCAGAAGTCGACCTGCATCGTGGTTTTCGGCACATGGCAGCCGTCGGCAGTTCTAAATGGACATGCATTGTGGAATTATGCGCAGGTGTGTTATACACAAGCGTTATGATCCCAGAAAAGAAGGCTTTAAACCATTTTAAACCCTCAATTGCAACTGATCCAGTGGATGCTGCAGAGCCTCACACCCTCATGCAGGTGCCACCTTCAAAAAAATAATAAACAAGCGCCCAGCGCCCCACCTTGTCGAGCAGGGTGTGCCGGGTTCATTCTCCTGGGCAAGGGATGTGTGGCGCACACTCTTGCATGCTCCCAGGATAAGCAAGGCACAAGGTTCAGTCTCGTGCAGCTCTGCAAACATGAAAAAAATCAGTACAGCACTGTGGTAATACGCATCTTCCAACTACCAATCAGCACTCCTTGATCTCCCGTCTTCCTCATAATAGTAGTTTACGCAGAAACTGAGCAAGGTTCTGACAATTGCTTTCCTACTTGAACCCAAACATTTCGAGAATCCCATCTCTACTAGTGGAAGAAAAACTTATTGGTGGTTACAGGTTATTATATGTTTTGTTGTTATATGCCCGTGTTCCATCTTTCTCGCTGCTCTAAATTAATGTTCTGCAGCCATTCTCGATGCCAAAATCCCAACGCTACTGGGCCCACATCCTTGAAGTGGAGACCAGCATCAAGCAGCTCAAAGCGTGCCTTCCACACTGCCATGGAATCATTGCACCAACCGAATGTGTGATTTTACTGCCAGGCCTACCATCTAATTGCACAATCCTATATCCATGCTTCATGGTAGATCATCTATTTTAGGACTTCTACCGGTTCTAAGTTCAAAGCTGCACTACCAATATGGGATTTGATATGATTTCATTACGCTCGCAGGAATATAGGACTGTCTCCAGATTACGGTACCATTGTGGGGTTATACACCCCTATTGTCCTTCGCCCATGCTCTACAGATTTAAAACAGTGCAATGGTGATTCTGATCCTTTTTGAGTTTTGCAACAACATGGTCGTTGCCTTTCGAGTTCCTGACTTGCGACATTCTCAATTGTATCTCCAGGAATGCTAGTCGCACCCAGAATTTTGTCTGCAGTCATTTTGGGTTCAACTCATTTTCAAGAATTTCTCAAAAATCGCGGGACGAGGAACTCGATTCATTCACAACTGACAAATCAACATAGGCTCCGTCATGTTGCGATTCCCGCCCTGGGTAAGTTGGCAGCGACTCCTGCCTCAAAGGGTTTACTATTCTCATTGGACTGAATGTCCCCCTGAGGACAAGCAAGCAGCGAAACGCACAAAGAGGAGAGCAAACCCAGTGTGTCTTGTAAATCGCCTCAACAAAGAGAAAAGGAATCAAACTTTGTGATCGTTCTGTCCAATCGCTTCAAGCACAGCTGCCCACTGCTAGCACTGGCACATGAACATGCACATGAACCCCTACAATGTCTATGATATCCTGCCAACTGCGCCTGACACGAAGATCCACTGGAGCCAGGAAAAGATACCAAAGTATCCCTTTCCTGCTCCATCTGCTGTTCGAACTGCTCTATGTCCATCTCACTGTCACTGCCATTGTCACTCTCCGGGGGAGCCAAGGGCATCTCCGGCAAAACATCTAACTGCAGCTCCTCAACAGGCTTGGGAAACTGCATTCGATTGTGGTGTCGATCCTAGCCGTAGGTGTGCATGAAACAGCTACTTGTACATGTACATGACTGTACATGTGAATAAATGCATATAGTTCCAGGCATCCATGGCGGCCACGACATATTGCATCAAAACAACATTGTAACAACATTGAGGCCATATTCAACTTGTTGAACAACATGTTCATTGAAATCTCTCCGTAAAGGTACCCTGTCCTCAAGGATTCCTGATCATCTGGGCAAGCTACGAAGAGCACCCCATGGAAATTGAAGCGCTGCAGGGATGTCATCCATGTCATCCTTGGTGTGAGGCGGTTCTCCTATGTGAAATGTCATGGATCAACAAGCGGACAAGTGGACACTAAGCGGACAAGTGAAAAATGATGTGAGTTTGCAATGTTGCTCCCGAGGATACAACCAAAATCAGAATTGAAAGTGATTTCAAAGCAAAGACGCTGTCTTTTTCAGAGGAATCCCTCACAAATATGTCACTTCAAATTGCTGAACTTTCATTTGCCAGCTGATGGACCATAGTTGCAATAGTTCCTTTCACGCTCCTTCCACTACCATCTGAGTCTGGAGCCCTATCAGTTTGCGACCTCAGGCCAAGATCTATACTGGCGCTGTCGGAACCAAGCTCTCTTCCAGCTCAACACAAAGAAGATTAGGTCGTCCCAAACCAACGTCGGGACAAGTTCCCCCAAATGACCAAAAATGTGATAGGAAACAAATGACTCAGATAGACCGCAAACATCCAGCATTTCATTTCGAGGAGCTCAGCGATATCTACCTAAAAGATCCAAAGGATCTATGTGTTTTTTGGTTTGGAGGGGCAAATGCACAAGAAATGTCTATTCCTGTTAGGTACATTGTAATTCGTGTGGCGGTTTGTCCCATGGTAAGCAGGTTACATCTTGGACACAGCCGCATCGGCACAACACTCTGCAGCTTCAGCTCTGAGATCCAGCCTTGAGGGCTGCCCTGTGGTCAAGTCCTGACACAAGAACTGCGTATGGTTTTCAAATGTTTTCAATCAACTTGGCAGTCACAATGGAAATCTGGATTGATAGAGTCGAAGGGAAAAAGAAGAAAATGAAACGATGTTGGATACCACTGGTCCGAACCATATTCCCATACTCGATCACCACACAAGCGGCCTCAGGTCGCTCGGGTGCAAGGACCTCAGCCTTGAAGGTCAAAGCGCCTGGGCAAAGTCCAGAATTCACCAACGAAATCAACGAATCTGCAGAATCCCAAAGTAAACCAAGTTTCTACCTGCGTTACCCATAGTGACACAATGAGACACATAGGTTACCGTAGTGAAGAGCAAAAAAATATGCCTAAGGATCCCCAAACCATGTTTGTGGGGGTGGGGGTGTGCAAATAGTGTATGTAAGTAACATACAGGAATGGGAGTAGAAGAATTAATGCGAATCCTCACCCAGCCAAGATGGGTGTCTAACCCACTAGGAATGTGCTGGTATGTCGTCCAAACCTTGGGGGAGGGCACCAACTTTGCTTCCCAACAGGTGACTCCCACTAGTAGAATTCTCTGAAACACGCTAACATTTGGGGGTTGTGCCCCTTCTCAAGATGCCATTGCACGGTGAAAATCAGGATCTCAACCTTGTAGTCATCCAGTAATGATGTTCTTGCACTGTTGGAGGGACGGGGCATATCTGTGTTTATATTGAATTAAATGTTCTTGCTCTAAGACTCCAGAGTCTCATGATGTCTCATGTTATATGAGGCATATATCATTGGAATCATCAACCGCCAGGGGTCAACTGGGCACTGCTCCCCTGAAGCCTTTGAACTGGCCCGCCTCCATCCGAGAGCGCAGGTGGCGCCTGAGAGGGACAAAAAATTGGGAATGAATGTGTGAACAAACAAAATGGTGGTACATCTTATCATCAACAAAATTTGAAACATAACCAACGAAAGGATGAATATATCAATACCAAAGAATGAGGGTTCTGTTCCGAAGTCACCAAGTACTGAATTTTGAACTTTGAACTTTAGCCATTTTGAGAATAGTGGCGGTTTCCCCTTGGTTTCAACTTGAAGCTTTTAGTAGTTGTGAAGAAATCTGGCAACTGAGATCTATAATATAATATATATATATAGATATATATATAATATATAATATATATATATATCATTATATATCAGTGTGTGTACATTTCCTAACCAATCCCAAAAAACAGAAACCACGAACCACATTCAACACTATGCTAACCATGCACGTGAAAATTGGAGTTACCAGTACCAAATCGTAAGAGACCTGGGCATCTGAACCCTTTGCTATTCTGCTTCAAGACCTGGGGACGCCGTTCCATCGATGAGGTTTTGGTTTGACACCCACCAGTGATCGGTCCCACTGAGTACTCCACCCATTCGATTGGAAAAGCCATCCTCAACGGCCATGAAGACCCTGTGCAGATGGATTCTGCGTCTGAAACTAAGCTACCAAAGGGCGGCGTAGATTGTAGGGCTCCCTTTTACAGGGTTTGAGTGGACAGAATGCAACTTTCTCTCATTGACAAAGAAAAGGGCTCGTGGCCGACCTCTGGGTGTATCATGGAACCATGGAGGTATGGCTGAGCTCGGGGATGTCTGGAAACCATTTTGCACACTAGAACAAACCATCAATCAAATCGTGGATTTCAACGGTCATGCAGCAGAAATATTGCCTTCAAACTGAACTCTAAGGTGGGAGTTAGAAGGTATATCCTCCCAACAACCATTGAAAGGTGATGTTTAATTGGGATCAATGGCATATGTACCGTCATTTGATAGAAAGGTGGTATAACATTGAAAACACCACACGCACCCTAAGCGCTGGAAGCAGCGCCTGCTTCCACCATGGGCCACTCGACAGGGCGAGCGGCTAAGAGCCAAAGGGTGATGGGTGAGCCATCGAGGGTTCTGACTTTGACCAAGAATCTGGACATAGCCAAGGCATAACCAATAAGGTTCTGCATACAGCAGGAAGCGAGGAACTAAAGTTGGGATCCACAGAATCAGATTGGGTGCGTCAACCTCAGAAGTGCAGACCTCCACACCCACCATTCAATGTGGATGGTTTTTTGGGAACTGTCAGAATTCTTGCAGGAATTTCTAGTTGCTTTCATTGGTAAGGCCATATCATACGAAATCAGAGGAAACTAGGTCAGAACGTCATGGTGGACTGCAATTTGTTGGCTTCACCCAAAAGGCCCTGGGATGCCCCGGGAATTGCTACAGTCTGAACATGTCGGTGACTTGAGGCTCCAGTAACCCTTCCCCACGGCTCAGGGCGTTTTTGGACCCAAAGGTCGTGCAGCGTTTAAGCCGAAAAGCTCAGGATTCCACTGAAGCAAGTGCCTACCAGCAGTGGGTGGCGATGTGGAATCAGGAAGCAATACTGCACAAATAAGAAGTTATTACGGAATATATATATATAATATGATTTTACCCTCAAAATCTTGTAGCATTGTATAACCAAAATAAGTAGCTGGCCTTCACCAAATTAGTGATGATGTTGCTGCTACTTGGTGCAGGGATGACCCAAGCAGTAGTCCTCTTTATACTTGCATAGGTGCATAGGCACATGCTTCCTCTTGGATTCCCTGCCATGTCACTGCCATGTCCATGTCGGCCCCACAACCAGCTTGGGGATAGCATGGATGCACATCAAACAGCTTCCACAGTGGCATGTTGGCTAAATTTGGCTAAGCCTTCTTTGATGTGTTCTGGTCAAGCTGCCTTTGCGCTGATAAGCTACAGAATGTATAATTCGACCCAAGAGGACTCTCCAACCACAGTTGCATTGAACTCGTCCTTGTTCACTGTGTCATGGCGCTGCAGACCCCCCGTTTCCGCCGGCCTCCCGGACGTTGGATAATGGATGAAAATAAAGGTCCTTATGAAGCGGGGACCTCAGCCGGCACAAACCACCTGTCTTCTAGGGCAATTTCCAGCTGCTTGAATGAAGAGTATAATCAAGGTACCACCAACTATCACCAACTCATTGATAGTTGAAGTAGCCTTGAAGTAGTTCAGGAATCGGGGGCTTCCCATTCAGGAGTATTCAGCTTTGTTGGAGCTGAGCTGGGTCGCCAAACGACGGCTTCTCTACAGGGTCATCGTCTCCAAAAAGGGCAAACCAATCGTGAGCTAGCGCGGCAGCAGCAGTGAATCGTTCCTGCCAGACACGAGAGCTGAAACGCAAGGGGCTTGAACCATCTGAAAGTGGAAAAGTTCAGACGCCCAGTGGTCAACTTCCTAACAAAAAACAAAGGAAATTGGGGGTTCTGATTTGATTTGAGAAGCGAATCAAAAAGACCAAAATGTTAGAATTAGGAACTTGACGACTTGTGCGTGTCCCACCCAAGCAGACCCAGGGTGGGATTTGATCGGTGTCGTTCTGACCTTTTTTCGCTGACCGCCGGCCCCGGCCTCGGGTCTTTGTTGCAAGAGCCCAGTTACGAAGCCTTCTGCCTCCTGGCCGATCCACGCAGCTTCACATGTGACGTGGAACAATGCTGGCTGGGATAAATCTTGACATTGATTGTAAATCGGTAGAACCTGACTGATGATGGTTGGTAAATAGCTTGTAGATGATTGAAGGATTCAAACCTTTTACTGGAAGCTGCTGGAAGCTGCTAGCGATTGAACCAACCTTCAGGGATCATCGCTGCTGCTTGAACTCGGCTCCTTGCTTAAATCCTCCCAAGAGGACTCATCAAATTCCAGGGGCGCTGTGACATTGGAAGGTGGATAGAAGGGTTCCTCGGTCAGCATTCACAGTTTCACTCTTAGAACGGGTTCTAAGCGCGGAAGAGAGCAGTATTATCCAAATCAGTCTAGCACTTGCTGTATGGCAAAAAAGAGCGAAATGATGTGCATTCACTTGAAACTGTCACAAGAATGGATTCGTGCTTGCAAGTTTCGTACCCAGTCAGCAAGGTGAAAATGGTGACACCTAGGGCAAAGATGTCAACCCCAAAGCCATAAGCCTGGCCGCGGAAATGATGGTGATGGCAAAGGTGGTTGACCTAGTGGGATGCCAATGAATGTGACAATTTTGCAAAGAAACGAATTGGAATTGCGTGCCTCCTCCCACTGGTAACTGGTACTTGGACTGTGATGCTGCGTCAAAAGCCGGCACCCCTAAGCTACTTAGCTGACCGAAATTGGCTGACGTTTGTTTCTACCACCCAAGTTTGTTTCCTATGTTCAATTTATTTGTAAATCGCATTGCATTCAACTTACATTCGATTGGGAAGATGAAAAGGAATCTAAATTCCAACCCCCATTAAGACCATTAAACTTTAGATTCAAGTGGGAAAATGAAGAAGCCGTAGTCCTGCCGCTCCAGGCAATGCCCAGGCATTTACCGCGTATACATATACAATACTGTATCAACTATACACATCGCTGATTTGTCGACCATGGATAATCGCTGGTATTTTGGTCAGAGCCATTTCGGTTGCGACCCGGCCACCGGCTGCCACCGGCTGCCACTGTGCCTCCTCAGCGAGGATCTCGGGTGCCATGTATCCATGGGAGCCTTGTATGCCTGCGCATCCATGGTGAGCCCAGATCTTCCATTCTGCTGAATTCTGCTTGATACCACGAAGATTAAGAGGTAAAAATTCAGAACCCCAAATCAAGAGATACTGGACGAGGTTGACCCAATATTGCAGCTGCAACAGTCCGTTCCACCCTAACTTGGAAATGGATGCGCTTGGGTTCCCCAAATGCGGAACTCACATCAGAAAGACAGCTGAAGGACCCTCCACGCCTTCAAAGCGGCACAGGAACGGTGCCTCTGGTGGAGTGCAGGATAGAACGTACGCCGTACGCACTTGGAGGACTTCGTCAAAGACCCCCAGATAGACCATATGACTTCATATGACCAAGTAACAAAGAACATCAAAGAACAAAAAATATCCCGAAAGTGTTCTTTGAATGGAAACATCAGGAGTGGTGAAAGTGAAAACAGGATGAAACAAGTGGGATCTCCTTTGTGAATGAAGTATCATGAACTCACATGGTTCTCTCTCCCCCGTCAAAGTCCTCCTCACCCTGCAGCACCTTGCGAGGACATTCTCGAGCAAAGCCAAAGTCTCCCAATTGGGCCACCATCCTCGGTGAAAGGATCCACTGATGCCAATAGGATTCAATAACACTGATATCTGAATACCCTTGAAGACATCAAATGTATTCAAATGTTCATTCCGGTGGAACTGAATCTTTCATGTTCCGAAACTTTATTTCATCATCAAATCTTCAAATCTTCCAGTCCCTCCCTCCTTTCTCCCTCCAGTCTGCCAAATGTTCATGCACAGCCCAGTGGCGCGTCTCCAGCAGGGACCAGAAAAATATTGCGAGGTTTCAAATCTCCATGGAGGATGAATTCATCCTCGCACCAATCGCACCAAGGATGTTAGGGTCGGCTTCAGGGTGAGGGCACTCACCATGGCAAGGGAGTCATCACGTTAACTTTGTATGTTTGCGGGTTGGAATTTGGACAGAAATCATGGGATGTTGATGGATCGGAATGGCATTGGTACTTAGATATTCTCGCACATAGCTCGAGTGGCAAGAGCAAACTATCATGGATTCGGAGACGAGCAACTACCCTTCCACCGACCCTGCACAGAATCATCCAGGGTCCTCGTGGAGATATCTCAGACCTGCAGATACACGTCTGCGTATCGGATCCAAAGGAACGTTTGAATCCAGCCGCTGTCATGATGCCCTTGTGTCCGTTAAAAAGTTAGTAGTGTTATGTTCCTCTCAGGGATGTATCCCCCCGATCACAATCTCGGGACCCACCATCCACAGCGCAGTCAGCTCTGGGGCCCAGAACCGCAGAGCAACTGTTCACACAGCCTGACGGCCTCAGCTGCATGGCCACAGCAGAGGAAGGAGTCCAAAGGAGGCATATGTAATGCATATGTTCAGTCTTGCGCGATCCACCTGCGAAGTTTGTAATTTGAGCCATGTCCAATTCTGCAGCCCGACACTTTGGGATATGGAGAAACAAGTTAAGATGCTTCCTCTGCAACTTGGATGCCGGACCTGCACCTCGGGTATCATTCTCCTACAACCAAGGGCCTTGGTGGGTTTACGGTCCGACGAATGAGACAGGATTTTTGTGACTCCGTTCAAGAAATTTCTGAGCATCTAAACCTCTTAGTCATCACATCCAGCCTTACCTTCCAGATAGACAAATGGACAAATGAATGGTGTCTTGGGACCCAGCAGCATGCAGATCGCCGCCGGAAGCGAAATGCTCGATCTTGAGTACCTTGTGCAGTTCGTGCTGCAAATGTCCACGGACTTTGAACCCATCTTGGGATGACTTTGTAGCACTGCCATGCCCACAGACATCTCGAAATCAAAGACTCAAACTTAGTCGGTTTATTTCATCTTGCAGTATTTCCCATGTTATCATATTCATCAATATTCATCATGTATTATCTAATTTCTGTACTACGCTACAAATTCGTCGAACCCTGCAGGAAAGGCACAAAAGGCGGAATTCGACAAAAGGAATCACGCCCACACTGCACCTCTCGAGGGGTTTCAGCAGCATAAAGCAAGCGCCTTACCACATCAGCAAGTGGATCAAGCAGATTGCCTGTGGACTGAGAATGGGTCAAGAAAGGGTAGCCCTCTGATCAGCCGACAAATGGAAGCACGATGAGTCGCATAGGCAAAATATCTGTGGCTCACTGTGACATCTGCAACTTGCATTTTAATCCACAATTACCTCCCAATGTCCAGCCCCGTGAGCCCCGTACACAATGTTCTGGTGACTTAATCGGCGTTGGATCTGGATTTCCTCTCCAGCGCGCAACAACTGAGGAAGAACTGCAACGTGCTGGTGGCAATGACGCTTGGGTCAAGACAATCCCGAATGAATCATCAAATGATGGCAATGATTGCTTGTTGGGGCCATTTCATCCTTTCCTGGAAACGAGGAAAAGATTGTTGGATTGTGTTGGATAATTTGGTTGGTTACATTCCCTTGTCCGTTTGGCTTGTGCCCTCGGCTCATCGGGTTCAAATCCCAATAGTTTGCAGCCCGTTGAAAGCCGCTCTTTAGATCCGATTCACAAAGAAAATGCCGTCGCCTGTCTAAGCGTGGCAACCTCCTCAGCATCGCCATCCAACTTGGCTGCCTGAAGCATAGCGCCACTTTTTGGAATATCAGTCGTTCATTGAGAGGCACCCCGGCACCCCCTCTCTGCCAATCACCAGTGAAACATCGCTGAGATTCACCTGACAGGCTTTATTTTGGTGATAGCAAGGTGATGCAGTCGCTCGAAAGGCTATCCGTAAATGCAAAAACCCAGGCAGTTTCAATGCAGTGGGAAGCCAGCCCAGAGCAACAGAAACATGTGAACAACAATAAATACGGGTCGTTTAAAATTACTTTGGCAGTATGAATAGATAGGAAATTCTGTTCCTGGGTGACTTAGCAAATCAATGAATCTGCCGATGAGATCCATGAGCAAAGCTATGATCGACTCACTTGATGGGGATAGTGATGGGGATAGTATCACCAACACATTCCTATCAAATAGATTCAAATAGGCCATCAGGCACGGACAACATCGGACAACCCGAGACCAAACTCTTGGGAACGCCCAAAAGGCAATGCCTTCAACTCCCCTGCCGTATTTTTTCTGCAAGGACTTTGCAGCAAGAAAACTGATATGGTTGGGTCATGTTGGGTCACACGTGACTTGAGATCGGATCCAGGAAGGGACCCAGTGGCTGCACAGTGGCCAGTTCTGGCCCGTGACAAGTGGGACTAGCCGACTAGCCTAGAACTAACAGTGACTAAATTGCCATGCCTTCAAGTATGGGCACATCACAAACATCTTCCATGTACAACAAGTAGCTTCGAAGCTTCTCAGGCCACTTAATCCCCTTGACGATGGTGAGTCGTCGCAGAGTGGGCCATAGGGTAATATCATCGTAGGACACGCCACCTGGCTGTTGTCAGGGAGTCGAGGTTGAATCTACATAATTTGCGTGAGGAATTGGTGACTTCAAAGGGTCATGCGCCGTAAGTCACAGCCGATTTGGATGTCCCTGAAATTGGCTATGCCAGGGATAAAGCAATCTACAAAAATAGTCCAAAAATTACTCGAAAAAGCTGGATTAGGGAGTTTACCTAAATCTGTGAAACACAATAAGTTGAAATTAACACAATAACTTGAAATCAGTTTACGCTCCTTTGGAGAATGATGGTATCTGTGGAGCTGTTCACTGAAAGAGAATACATTTCCAGCGCTAAAGGCCCATGATTCAAACGCACGATCAACAACTGCATAAAACAAGCACAAAACAAGCATACAAGCATCAACAGTGTTTCACATTTGTTTCACTTATGCAACCACTTCACTTTTGGCAAAATAAAAAGTGAAGTAAATGTTGCCATTTCCAGCAACCAAGTCATATTGCAGGCACCTTCGTTGACTGTGTCCCCATGGATCATCTCTGCGAGTTTGGGTAACTCATCGTTCATCTGCTTCAGGTACTCCTCAACAATTGACATCAATTGACATCTCTGTTCCCAACCTGTGGGTTCCCCAAGACTGGAACGACATGGAATGACCCGCCCGGAGGCGCCCTAGTGAACTCGCATTTGCGAACAGAAAACATTTAACAGCCGACTGTTTTTGATTGTCAAATTGCGTGCCTTTTAATCGACATTTACAATATGTATCTTATATAATATTATATATAATATAGTGTATATATAAAGTGTATATATATATATGTATATTAAAGGCATTGGCCCAAAACTCCCCTCGCAGCTTCGTTTCAGGGGTTTTCTTGGCGCCATAGCCTAAGCGGGCAAGACAGCCCGTGTGCCCGCGGGTCGTTTCAGACCTCGTGCCTGGTGTGGACATTTGGATTTCATTGGACGGTCAAGGTAGAATTTCCCTTGGCTCTGTATCTGTTGGGACTTCCATTTTTACCTGTCTTTTCACTCTGGCACAACATACACATTTCTTATTTCCTGGCTCTGCGGTGGCCGACAACCGATTGAGGGTGCTCTACACTGGCTCTGCGGTGGCCGACAACCGGACAGTGGAAATTTGGGATATTAATTTACTTTTGGGGTTTTTCACTACGTGCTGAACTGGTTTTTTGCCCTGGCACCCTGTGGAATCCGCTGACATACCTTACCTGATACAGTACTGAACTGGCACAACCCTGGTACTGTTATTTTGGCTTTGGTTTACAATTTTAACAATTTATGTGCTCTTTCTTGCTCTTGTTCCTGATTTTGATTGTGGGATTTGATCTTCTTCGAGATTCCGCTCCTCACTGGAACGCAGAGGCGTCGAGCTCGACGCTTGAGACAAGGGGCCCGGAGAGCTTGGTTCTTGCATCGTACAGGTGTATTGACCTTGTCAGCCTCGGCCCTCATCAGATTGAAGAGAATTTTAGCAGCACACCATTCCAAAGATCGACATTTCATCAAGAAGATGGATTTACAAATCGAACAACACGAGCTCTGGCCATGGCGATGCGGTCGTTGCCAACGGATCAACAAAAAGACAGCTATGAAGTGTGCAGTATGCAATGCACACTGGACGAGTGGAACTCGTCACAATACCCAACCAAAGCAGTCTGCAAGCCATCAGGGCGATGCAACGCGCTGGCAAGATTGGGACGAATGGTCTCAGGATTGGGACGACAATTGGGGAGATCCGCAAGAAGCTTGGCAGTGGACGAAAGACAGATCTCAGGCGAGATCCCACTCACAAGCAAGCAGCAGAAGCAACAGATCAGAACCGCATCAGACCAAAGGTCGCAAGAGCAAGAACAAAGGGAAGGGAAAAGGAAAATCAGGAAAAGGTGCTGGCAAAGAAACGACGGGATCCAATCCGAACCCTTCGCCCTTTGCAGCCCTAGCTCCAGAAATGCCACCTTGGCCACCATTGGAGAGCAGCACCAATGCCCCAATGCCAACAGTGGCGCCAATCTCTGCAGCACAGGTGACAGAGACAATTGCCCAAAGGAGAGAAGTGTTAGGTGCTCTACGTGCGGCCTACACAGATCAAGCATTGATGCCATCAGAGACCAAAGATCTTATTGTCAAGTTGGAGGCAGAGATCGAGCGGTTGGAGAAAGAGTTCACGAAGGCCACAACAAAAAATTTACATTCGGCTACCAAGGCCCTTGGCAAAGCGCAGAAAACGCTTACCGAAACACTGGAAGCAAAGCGAGTGCACAGGGCCAGGTGGACGAAGCATGTGGCAAAAGCAGCAAAGACGTGGGAAGGACAGCTGCACGAGTACCGCCAGCAGCAATCTTCCTTTCAAGAAGTAGCAACAAAAGCAAGAGCAGACATAGAGAGCGCCCGAAGCGCGATCCAAACTCTCTCTGCAAAAGCTACACCAGCCACTCTGGCTGCAATGCCGCCAATAGCAGCCATCACTGCGGAGACAGAAGATTTGACTGGAGAGGCAGACAACGAAGAGGAATCTGTGCAGCAGCAATTACAGAATACTCTCAGAAGTTGTGCAGCCTCCCTGGGCGTGGACTTGACAGTGCCATCGACCTCTCAAGGTGCCTCAGAAGAGATGGACGAGAACGCACCGAAAGATCAAGCCCGGCAAAAGCGCCCTCGATCCATGGAACCTTTCGCAGGTGGTGGTGGCTCCTTGGCCTCGCATGGAGGCGAAGTGCCACAGTCGTGAATGAAGGCGGTGCACTGCTAGTTCATTGCAATAGCTTGCATGGCGCCAATTATGGTGTCCCTGGAGCTGGTGCCTACGTGTGCAAGCCAGGCACATGTGCAGCATGCCCTTGGGAGCCGCATCCATTTCTCCATGACATCAATCCCAGTTGGTATCAATACATCAATGAGATTTCTTCCGATAGCCATGTCTTTGCTGCAATTCGTTCTGCATGTGGTTTGCGATGGAATGTTTTGTGTGAAAGTTTTCATGAGCAAGTGGAATATCTCAACAGAATCTACTATGGCAATGATGACTTGCGTTCTGATCCTGCTTCCATAGGAAAGGAATCATGCCAAGCATCACCGACTTCCCAATCATGCCAAAGATCTCATGTTGTAGCAACCCAGGTTTCCCAGGTGATGCTCCATAGATCGAAGACCCATGATGATCCAGGTTTAATGAGCGTCGCAGGCAGACAGACGTTGAAGAGCTGTGTCCGCATGACAGATGACCCTGCTTTCCGTCAAAAGCGTGTTCAATTCCTGGAGCAAGTACAGATCCACATTGGTTTAGATGATGAATTAGCTATGGGCAGCACAACCATGCAGCATGACACACTCTTTACCTGGGGAGACAAACCATGGTCTGGACGGAAGTGTCGTGATGCTCATTCCAGTTCGCCATCATTCCAATATCGCACAACAGATGAATTTTACAATGTTCCCTCGCGATGGCCCACACAACACACAAACACTGGAGAAAGGGATCTAGAAGACACAGAAGATGCCAATCATTTCCTTCACGAGGCTCCTGAGTCTGTTCAGTATCTGTTTGATGCGATGCTGTCAGAAGGTGTTGTGGAAGGCCCAAGGATTCATGAGAGTGTTTTCCTGCGTTCATGGTATGTGCACCATTATCATGTTCCGCAATGCTTCCAATATAGGGTGATTGAGATCAATGGTCACTGGCGACACTGGTTCAATGACATTACTAGTGCCTGGAGGGATCGTATTTCACCTGATGAGCAGGTCATTTTCGACATTGTCCATCCAGATCCACCACGAACAGCACTGCCGCCTGAAGGTTTTATGTTTGATATCATCCTTACACAAGGGTTGACAGCACCGAGAAGAGGAGGTTTGGTTACCATTTTACAGCGTGATGACAGGGCCCAACGCGCGCATCATGCGGTGGCAGTGTCCTTACCAGAAGCTGTTAGTGGCTATCAAATTGTACAGAGTGCTGAGTCCACACATGAGTGTAATGTCCATCAATGCATAATCCGACATGGCCCAGTGAGATTGCCTTACACCATGGCGCCAGTACATGACATGCAAGATGGAGATTCTTTCACGGTTGCTGTGCACACCCGTGGGTCAGATCAAAATGTCAGCATGGCCAACTCCTCCCATGACCGACAGGTATCCGATTCAGCACCAGATCATGCAGATAATGGAGACCCAGATCTCCCACAA